CAAACACGCCCACACGCGGTTCTGTGGGAACAATCTGCAACACAACCTGAGTGGACATGCCTGGCTAGTCACCAACCAGCTCAAGGCAAAGAAACAGCTCAGGAGCCGGTGCCAAATGAAACCCTAGCGCCAGAGGCCGGATCTCAGAGGGAACCCTCCGAACTCCCCGGACGCTGCTGCGGGAGGGGACGTGGCACCTCCGGATACAGCTCCTTCCAGCCAAGCCAGTGTGGGAAATACATCCGCCCGGTTTACAGGCCAAGTGGCCATTACAATCTGGTCGCCAAGCCTGACCCAGCAGGTCAGCTGACTGGCCTGTTCTTTTCGCAGTATGAAAGTCCACTGGGCAAGGTTCCCATCGGAGATTTAACTGGTCCTTCCGGACTGCGGGCTGGGACCTGGAGGACTCAGATGGCACTGGGCCCCCTGCCTGGGTCCTTGCACTCGGGCTGAAGCTGGCCACCTGACATGGATTCCCACGAGGGCACCTCCTCCTCCAGCTGGCGCAGGGCACTGAATGGGGAGCAGTGTCTCTCTTTTATCTGCCCCTCCCCTGCTGCCTCCATAGTCCAGGCCTCAACTTGGACCACCTGGAGGCTGGGTCTTGAGTCTTGCTGCCATTTAACTTCCAGCCAAGGATGAGGGGACAGTCTCCTGCTGCCTGGTCCTAAGTAATGAAGAGGCTATTTTTGTAAGGCAGTTTGTGAAAAAGTTGGCGCTCCCCAAAACATTGGTCTGAGTACCCAAACTGGGGCTGCTGGCAGGACTGTCCCCAGTTCCACCCTCCAACCAACTACTGGAGGGTTGGGTCCAAAACCACCTGGTTCACTCCCTTCCCAGCACACAGGACCTTCCCCACCTCCCCGCCCCTCTTCCCTAATGAGACTCCTCTCCCATGTAGCCAGGGTCCAGCTGCTCCCTGTGGAATCCAAGTGGTCAGCCTGGCTCCAGACTGGAGTCTAGATGGGCCTGAGCTTCTTACCCTAATAAAAGCAAGGAATGCTCAGGGCTTACAGAAACAGCCAGCCTGAAGTCTCCCATGGCCAAACTGGTACAACCCGAGTAGTCAGGTAGTGACAGTAATGGATTGTAACCCACTGAATAAACAAGAAACCACAGCCATGATGTAGGTCAATGACTAAATGAAAAGCTGATGAGAAACTACCCCAAACCACCACTCAACCACTTCCCCAAGACCCTCTGCAGGACGCAGCCCAGGCAGGACCCGGGGCCCTCATCACTTTGTGGTGCCCCTGGCCAAGAGGAGTCCTCGCTGCAGACAAGGGTACCTTCAGAGACCCACAGCAGGGGGTGCTGCATCATGGCCTGAGATGGAACCGTTATCTGGTCTCAAATGTCAGACAGAGGAACTGGTCCAGATGGCGGGGACTAAAGACAGGAGACCCACTCCTAGGAGAGAAAGGACTGGCCGAAAAGGGCCCCTGAACAGGCCTGTGGGTGAAGCGTCAAGGAGGGGCCTGTGCTATTCTGACTTGATGGCTGTTCTGTGGTTAACAATATGTCATTGTGATAGGAAATAACCTAAAGTCTTTGGGGTGATGCACAGCAAGGCAGCACACACTCTCAAACAGTTGAGGGAGGGGTGGGAAGCTCTCTGTTCTTGCAACTTTCCTGTGAGTTTGAGATAGTTTCAAAAAGAAAAGCAACTCAGCCCTCATCACAGCCCCATTATTCCCATTTTACTGGTAAGTGAAGATTCAGAGTGGTTGCAGGCCCAAGGTCACACACTTGGTTGAGCCAAGTCTCCTGAGAAGAGTCACCTCATGGGGTCCTAAGAGGGACCAGGTTGGGGCAGAGATGGGAGGAGCCAGGGGTGGGCCTCCTCAGTGTGCATCCCTACACAGGGGTGACCCCTGTGGGTGAGCAGAGGGCTCTGCTGGACCACCAGGGCTCTGGCCAGCTGTGTCCTGTGGCGGCCACACCACAGGCTTACAGGTTAAGGGGCACCAGCAAGTGCTCACCTGAGGCTGCGCCCATGAGCAGGTCACACCTGGAGAGGGATCCCCAACCCCAGGGTGGGAACATAAACTGGTGTGGCCATGTGACAGCCTGGCATTTCTTCACACTAAACACGGTCACCTCCTACCTCCTGGCCCAGCAACTCCACTCCTAGAAACACAGCGAGACACGCAGCAAGGCCACGCAGAAACCTGTGCGCGAGCGCTCGCAGCGGCGTTATTCTTTTTTTTTTTTTTAATATATTTTATTGATTTTTTACAGAGAAGAAGGGAGAGGGATAGAAAGCCAGAAACATCGATGAGAGAGATCGATCAGCTGCCTCCTGCACGCCCCCCAGTGGGGATGTGCCTGCAACCAAGGTACATGCCCTTGACCGGAATCGAACCCGGGACCCCTGAGTCCGCAGGCCGACGCTCTATCCACTGAGCCAAACCGGTTCGGCAGCAGCGGCGTTATTCCCAGTAACCAGGGGCAGGGAAAGGATGAGGGGCAATCCCTGTGGACAAATGAATAAACAAACGCGTGGCCCATCTCCACATGGAATGTCATCCAGCCACTGGGGAAATGAGATCTGACACATGCCACGTGGACGAACACTGAAAACGTGCCGAGTGAAGGAAGCCAGACACAGAACACTACACTGTACAACCCCAATTATTTCAAAGTCCAATCAGGGGATCTGTAGACAGAAAGCTCAGTGGTCGCCAGGGACTGGGAGGGTGACAGCTACAGATGTCCTTTGGGGTGAAAATGTCCTAAAATTGACTGTGGTGACTCTGAATACACTGAAAATCACTGACCCGTCCACTGTGGGTGGGGGAACTGCATGGTATGTAAGTGATTTCTCAAGAAGGCATTTTTAAAAGAACAGGAAATAAAATCAATGCCAACTTCTGAACACAAGCTTCCCTGGGGGACAGTGGTTGGTGGTCACATTCAACTTCCTCTCAGGGTTTCACCACTTTGCCCAATGAGAACGCTTCCTGACGGGGACAAGTGCCCATTGTCCATCAGCAGCCGCTGGCACTCTAACAGGGATGCCATTATGTCAGGAGCAGAGTGTTGGAAATTCTCGGGGGGACAGTAACAAACCATGGTGATGACGCAGCAAGGTAGGACCTGCAATCAGATATACCCCCAGAAATCTCTATAGTATGGCTGGTTCCCTTACTTTTTTCTCTTTTTAAATGTTTTTATTGATTTTTAGAGAGAGAGGGAGAGGGAGAAGGGAGGTAGAAACATCAATGATAGAGAAACAGAACAGCTGCCTCCTGCACGCCCCCTACTAGGGATCAAGCCTGCAACCTGGGCATGTGCCCTGCCCGGAAATCCTCTTGGTGCCAGGGTGGACACTCAACCCCGAGCAACTCCAGCTGCACTGTTTCTTTACTTTGACCAAAGGAATTTCAACAGAAACAACAAAATTGTGCATCTCTTTGGGGAAAGGGAACTGTGAACTGATGACTGCCTCGGCTGCCTCTTCCTGTCCCCTAAACCTGTTCCCCTAGCCAGCCTCAGCTGCCCAGCAGCTAGAATGGAAGGGGATGCACATGGCCCTGGCTCCCCCTGGGTGGACGATGTGCTCATGCAGCAGGGCTTTGGAAATTGGGGTTCAGTTCAAGCCTCGGTGGGTCTTCCCCAAGGCGGTCCTCTTGCTGGGCTCACCCACACGCCTTGGCCCAGCAGTGGCCCATTGGCCTGGATGCCGGTGGAACGCAGGATGTGGACCTACCCAGGATAGTGCCCACCTGACAGTCTGTGGCGATGGCTGTAGCACTGCCCGGAGGCCACCGGGAACCACGCAGCACTATTTCACATCCTTATTTCCCCTCTAATTGGTATTCAGGAGCCAGGGCTGGTCAAAGCACAAACCATCCCAGTAGGTTCCCCTCACGGTACTCTGGTCAGGGTCCAGCAAACACAGCCGCTCAGACCTTCTGGATGGCCTCTGGGACAATCTGAAGGCGCTGAAGGGAAGTATAAGGAACGGCTCTGGCCAGTGTGTCTGTTGGTTGAGTGTTGTCCCACGCACCCAGAGGTTATCAGCTAGATTCCGGGTCAGGGCACATGCCTGGGTTGTGGACTCAATCCCCAGTAGGGGGTGTGCAGGAGGCAGGTGATTGATGGTTCTTTTTCATCGATGTTTCTCTCTCCCTCTACCTTCCCCTCTCTCAAATCAATAAAAATAAAAAAAATAAAAAAGAATGAAGGAAAGAAGGAAAGGAAGGAAGGAAAGAAGGAAAGGAAGGAAGGGAGGGAGGGAGGGAGGGAGGGAGGGAGGGAGGAAGGAAGGAAGGAAGGAAGGAAGGAAGGAAGGAAGGGAGAACAGGCAGGTCTGCCCACTGGCTGCCAGATCAGGTTCTACCTCCGAGTCACAGAGACGAAGGTGGGCAGAGGAACTGCTCTTCCTGCCTCAGGCACATCAACCCCAAGCATCAAACACAAGTCTATAACATGGAGAGTAACAGTGTGTCCAGAAACCCACTGCCAGCATTTGGCATCCTCTTGCAGATTTTGAGAAATGTATAAATCGTCTTACCCACAAAAATGGGTATCTATATATATAAAAGCCAAGAGACCAAACAACCGAATGACCGGTCACTGTGATGCGCACTACCAGGGGACAGACGCTCGACGCAGGAGCTGCCCCCTGGTGGTCAGTGCACTCCCACCGTGGGAGCGCCACTCAGCTGACCAATGGATGCCAGACACAGGGCTCACGGCTGGCTGCTGCAGCCCGGAGACCTCAGCAGAGCGGCAGCAAGCCTACAGAGAAATGGTGGTGGCAGGCATAGCAGGGCCAAGATGAGCAGGAGCGCAGGCAGGAGTGGCAGGTGGCATTGGACTGCCAGTTTCAGCCCGATCCCCCAACCCCCCACAGGCTACACCGAGGGACCCCACCGGTTCACGAATCTGTGCACTGGGCCTCTAGTAAAATATAAACACTATTCAAGAGCCGGCACCTGTCATTTCACCCCACCAGAAACCTTCCAGCATGAGCACACAGGGCAGGACTCCCATTTCTAAGAATGTGCAGCATTTTATTTACAGCCGCCCGCTGCATGGCTAGTCCCCTGCCCTGCCAGGGAGGGTTGTTTGCGGGTCCTGCCTGACCGGGGTCAGCACAGCAGCAGAGCTCTCTGGGGCGTGGCTGAGTGAGAGCCAACATCAGCTAGTGCTGACCTTTGGACCATAACTCGACTCTTGGGAGCATGGCCCACCTGTCCTGTTCGCTCATTCAACACAGCGCAGACCGGGAGGAGTGGAGGAGACAGTGCTGTCCTGCCAGGACTGGGCCTGGCCACGTTATTTCTTGCTCTTCCGTGTCCACTTCTTTTTCACGTCTGGCTCCTGGCACCCAGGCACCTTTGCTCTGGCCCCTGCCTGAGGCTGCCGCCGCCTCTTGCGTGTACCTCTCCCACCACGGCCCCCGGGCTGTTCCTGGGGCGCAGTGGGGTCAGCCCCTGGACCCTGACGCCGCCTCTTTCTCTCTAATCTGGAACTCAGGTCTCCACGTGGGTCTTCCTGTTCATTTCTCCCTGAAACAGCAAGGCCACATAATGAGGTTCGTGAAGACCTGGGCTACTTCACTTGAATGCTGACCGAAGGTGCCATCGCAGGGCAGCAGAGGACACGAGAGCACCTGGCACAGAAGCACCAACAGCCTCAGGAGCAGACACGCACCAGCAGCCGGGGCCCCGCACAAGTGTGGACATGCTGGCTCCTGATACCAGAGAGGCAGCCTCAGAAAGAGCAGTGAGCACAGGATCAAGGCAAAGACATGACAGAGGGGCGGACGGGCCCAGGCTCAGTGCACAGGGGCTGGAGGTGACGCTGGTCAGAAGGGACAGGCTCAGAAGCAGGGCCGGGAGCAGGGACTCAGCCTGGTGCACCAGAGCCATGAGATGGCATTTGGGGGCTGCTGAAGTAGGTGCTCGAGTGGGCCCTGTTCCTGCCGCAAGGCCCAGATGTGAAACATATGAACGGCGGGGCCCTGGCCAGAGCAGTGGTGAATCAAGAGACGCTTCAAAGGGCACAGCCCATTTCACTGCAGCAGGCAGCTCCATGCCTGGTGGTCTGCAGTGGGTGCGGGGCCTGGGTGACAGTAGCAGAGTCGTCCTTAGTGAGGCTGTTGCATTCTCACCACAATTGTGTGACAGCTGAGGAGGAGGGAAGAGGCAGGGGAAGGAAAGCCTCTAGAATCAAGGAGAGCGGTGAGGCGAACTGGTCTCGGGCGGACACTGAGGATGAGGAGTGGATGGGTCAGAACCCACATGCACAGAGATCAAAGATGAAGAAGGATCAGGAAGCAGCAGCACAGACTGAAACTGCAGACAAGGAGAGCGGGGAAGATGGCAAGTGGCCTGGAAGCCAGACAAGCCGAGTCCCGGCTGCACCAGGCAGCCTGCTGCTGCAGGGCATCTGGTCCAGGGCACTCATGGTGCTGGGGCAGCCAGGGCAGGCAGGAGGCGTCACGCCTGGAGGCCACACCCAGGAGACATGGCAGGTGTGTTGTTCCCATTAGAACAGGTGGGTAGGCCCCTCCACCGTCCGCGGGCACTAGTCCTACCTGTCTCGTTCTGCAGCTGGGATTTGGGCAAACGCTTCTTGGCCTTCCTCCCCTTCCTTCCTTCTTGCAGTCCCCTGTAGGCTTCTTCTGGGATGTCCTCTTCAGGAAAGAGGCCTGAGGATCAAGGCAGACAGAGGTCAGGGGCTGAGGGCAGGCCTGTTCAGTCTGCTCCATATGACCCAGCAATCAGCCCCTCCCCAAGCTTGTGCCAGGAGGCCCTGCTCCACGCCCACCACAGCTCAGCCGGCCCAAAATCCTAGTCGGCACCATGGGAAAGAACCCGTTCTTGGAGCACATAGGATGCCAGGCCTACTTCTTTATTTTTTTATTTTTTATTTTTTTAAAATATATTTTATTGATTTTTTACAGAGAGGAAAGGAGAGAGATAGAGAGTTAGAAACATGGATCAGCTGCCTCCTGCACATCTCCTACTGGGGATGTGCCCGCAACCCAGGTACATGCCCTTGACCGGAATCGAACCTGGGACCCCTCAGTCCGCAGGCCGACGCTCCATCCACTGAGCCAAACCGGCTCTGGCAGGCCTACTTCTTTAAAACGCTTATGCCGGGAGGGGCTCGGGAGAGCCTCCTGGGCAATGATTTCCACTGCTGGATGAAAGGCTCTGCACCAGTCAAAGCCCACAGGTGCACAGTCTCCATGCTTTCACTGGATGTAAATCTCACCTAAGAATCACTGGACTTTAATTCATAACGGGCATGGAGTATTTAAGGGTGAGGAAGGGAGGGCTCAGTGGGCAGATTCGTGATAGGACAAGGACAGTGAAATGATGATGACAGAATCCAGGTGGTGGATATGCAGGCCTTTATGATAAAATCCTTTCAACTCTGCTATGTGTGTAAATATTTTTATAATGAAATGTTGGCGGGGAAAATGCTACATCTCCAATCATAAACCTTCCAGAAAACTGTCTGCAGAATAAACCGTACCAGTTCCATCAGCCACACACCAGGACGTGGAGAGGTCTGCTGCAGACCAGCAGCCTTAGCATGCTGGGAACTTACTAGAAGTGCAGGTTCCTGGGCCCCACGCTGCCCCAGGCCCAGCACTGACCTAAGATGAGCTGCAGAACCCCAGCCCCCTCTGTGCAGACTATTCATGCTGCGAGGGTGAACCTACGAGCTCCCACGCTCTCCTGAGAGAAGGGGACAGATGCCTTCTCCCCGGGGCCGGTCTCAGTGCTCACCTTCAGCGAGGTCCTGCAACCTGCAAGAACAAGAGACAGTCACTCCCCATGGCTGTGGCTCCCGGAGGAGGAAGGAGGCGGAACAGAGAAGGCACCCCACAACCTCCAGCCTCCTGCCTCCTGTGCGGGCAGCATGGTGGCCCTCGGTGAGGCCCCTCGCTACCTCAACTCTGAAGCGGAGTCCTGCCCCCTTGCCCGCTAGCTGAGGCCGCCCGAGAGGGAAGGGGCAACCCCAGGGCAGTGGGAAGAACAGAAACACTTACTTGCGGATCACTTTGTAGAGACGCTTCCTGTTCTGAGAAGGGGTGCTCTGGTGACTGGCCATTTCAAACAGCTTGTTAGCAACAGCCTCGTAGTCAAACTGATTCACAAAGAGACACCATGGAGACAGAGTCGGTCACTGCCAGGTGCCGCCAGAATGTGAGCAACTAGAGAGAAGCACCTGGCCCACAGGACACACCTGCTGTCCCCTCAGCAAAGGTGACTGTGTACAGCTCACTCCAGGACAGTGCCCCCCGCCCCCCCAAAAAGAGGGAAGCCTCTCTGTAAATTTAAATCCTCTGGTAGCCACATGAAAACAAGCAAAATTAATTTTGATAAATTTTATTTAAATCAAGATATCTAAAATCTGACTAATTTCTCAAGTAATCAATACTGAAAAGTTGTAAGTATTCCACGTTCCCAATGCGCCTGGAATCATAGGTCCTCAGTTGCCCCAGCACCCCAGGAGGCGGTGGGCAGTCCTGGATTGGGCAGCTGATGTACGGTGAAGCCTCTGAACCCCGTCTCCAGGTGCCCGCCCCCAACCCCGTTTTCAAGGACTTGTGCTCTGGCAGACGCAGGGCCCCCCAAGTCTCAGCCAATGGCTGCCCTTCCCGTCCCTGACGCTCTGCCAGCTCCCAGAGTCGCCTATAAAGCCAAGGAGAGAGGCTGAGCTCAGCCGAGCCCAGGCCACGCACCTGAAGGACGGCGCCCGTGCTGTCCTCATCGTCCTCGCCCTGCTCCTCACCCAGGCCCGGGCGAGCCCCACAGGAGCCTAGGATGAAAGAGCTGCATCAACTCAAACAACTGGGAACCAGCCCTCTCTGCCAGCGCCCAGAGTGCAAGGTGTAGGCTGTGGGAGCCCACAGCACGAGACGGGGGGACCCCGACAGCCTCACGCTGAGGGAAGTGGGGCCACCGCAGCCTGGAAACAAGGGAGACGCCCCAGAGGACGTGAAGGCCTGACCGGTCCTTGAGGAGGGAAATGAAGAGGGAATTATGAGTGGCGTCTTAGGTACATGTGGTGCCAGACTCTGGACGCGAGGGAGAAGGGCAGCTGGTCCAGCCACAGGGCGGGCCTGTGGAGACGATGTTTCAGTCATTTGGGGCTTTCACGTCACTGCCTACAGAGAAAACTGCTGACCACAGGTGGCCATGAGGGCAGGTGTGTGTGGCAGATGAGGACAGCGAGGCGGCAAGCAGGCACAGGTGGGCAGGGGCAGGCCTGTCAGGAGACTCCTGGGTCTGCCTGGGCCAGGGCCACTCAGGTGCTTAGAGTGAGAGAGAAAGGGAGGGACAGGTGAGACGCAGGATGCCAGAGAACGTGCTGGAGGCGAGGGGGGGGGGGGGTGCTGACTAACAAGAAAGCCAAGGGGAAGGAGATGTTAACCCCTAATTTATGGTCAAATGACCTTCCACAAGGGCACCAGGACCCGCCAGTGGGGAAGGACAGTCTCTTCAGGGAACGGTGCCAGAAAGTTGGCCATCACAAGCGAAAGAGAGAAGCCGGGTCTTCCCTAACACCACATACAAAAATTAGCTCTAATGACCCACGACCTGCATATAAACCTAAACTAATAAAGCTCCTAGAAAAAAAACAGGACAAAAGCTTCACAGCATTAGATGTGGCATTGAGTTCTTGGATGTTACACAAAAGGCACAGGTAACAAGAGAAAATATAGACAAAATGGACTTAATGAAAAATTTTAAATGTTGTGCATCAAAAGAGACTATCGATAGAGTAAAAACAACTCAGAATGGGAGAAGCTATCTCCAAATCACACATCTGGTAAGGGGCTAGTATCCTGAATATATAGAGAACTCCTAAAATTCAACAAAACAATCCAGTGAAGAGTGGATAAAGGACTTGAATAGACTCTTCTCCAAAGACATACAAATGGCCAACTAGCACATAAAAGGATGCTCAACATCACTAATCAGTAGGGAAATGCAACTCAAACCACAACCCGATACACCTCACACCCATGAGGACGGCTATCAAAAAACCCCAGAAAATGACAAGTGTTGGCGAGGATGTGGAGAAATGTGAACCCATGTGCACTGTTGGTGAGAATGTAAAATGGTACAGCAACTGTGGAAAAAGTACAGTGGTTTCTCAAAAAATTAAAAGTAGAATTACCATATGATCCAGTGATCCCACTTTTGGGTATAAACCCAAAATAACTGAAAGCAGGGTCTCAAAGAAATACACTGTAGGCCCGCCCCAATCTGATGCTGGTGGGTGAATTCAGAGAAACGTGAATGGATAACGACAGAAAAGGGTACGGACACAATGGGAAACAGCCATTTTGTACAGGAAACTTTGGGAAAGGTTGTTTACTGCAGTCTGCCTGAAGTCAGGACAAAACTGAACAAGCAAGATGAGTTTGTTCCTGGCCGGGGAGCTCAGTTGGTTAGAGCATCGTCCCGATAAGGTTGAGGGTTTGATCCCCAGTCAGGACACATAAAGAATCAACCAATGAATGTATACATAAGTGAAACAACAAATCCATGTTTCTCTCACTCCCTTTCGCCGCCCCCCCCCACCCCCAAATCAATAATTTATTTTAAAAATAAAGAAAATAAAAAAGATGAGTGTGGTGCTTTGGAAAGTGTGAAAGCTGCTAGTGACCTCTATTCTCCTCCATCAGAAGTAACTGAAATTAAAGAAGCTCTTGCAGAAAATCCAGGACTTGTCAACAAATCTTGTTATGAAGATGGTTGGGTGATCAAGATGACACTGAGTAAGCCTTCAGAACTAGAGAACTAATGAGTGAAGAAGCATATGAGAAATGTATACATCTATTGAGGAGTGAAAATGGAAATCCCCTAAATAAAGTAGCATGAAACAACTTCAATTGGCAGAGTTGTCTTAAGTTAATGGTAGATAGATTTTTAATAGCAACTTTTAGTAATACCATGGAAAAAGAAACTACAGCAATACTATTGTAAGAAAATACCCCTAACTTTCTAATGCTTGCAGATAAACACAATGTGCATCTTTTCCCAGCACCCTATGATTTTTAGACTAGGCTACAATTAAAATATCAAAAATAAAGTTTAGTAACAAAACATTCAACTTCATTAGAAAAAAAAAGCTACACTGTACACCCATGTTGACACAACAGATAAAACCTGGAAGGAATCAGTGTCCATCTACAGATGACTGGATAAGCAACATGTGGTCCATGCACACAATGGAACACCATTTGGCCTTAAAAAGGACCAAATCCTGGCACAGGCTACTACATCGATGATCAACAGCTCCCTGTCCTGGTGGAGTCGACATCAGTGAGAAAGATGGGCCCGGACAATCAACAGTGATTTATGTAACTAGAAGCGGGTTATGCCAGGAAGTGAGACAGCAAGGGAGGCAGGCGAGGGCTGGGAGGCTTCGCTTCAAGCAGGGTGGTGAGGGGAGGCCCCTGGAGTGACAGAGGGTGGACACCGGTGGGAGAGAGAGGGCCGGGGGAGTCAGGATGGCGCACATGGAGCGAGGGCCAGGGGAGTGAGTGACATGGTGCCTGTTTTTCAAGGACACGTTGGCCATCAGGCCAATAACAGACTTTGGGGGCAAAGGCAGAAACGAGGAGACCAGACAGGCCCAGGGCAGGTGGCACAGAGGGGGCAGATACATCGTAGTGAACACACTGTAAGCCTCACCTTCATGTGGCTTCTTGGACGCCACGCCCTGTTCCTGCCCATCATCCTCTGACATCTCCCCCTCCTCCTCCTCCATTTCATTCATTAGGTCTTCAATGGCGAGCGGGGCCTGTTCCACAATCGCTTCAAAGATGCCTCGGTTGATGTTATGTAGAACCAGGGAGCTGAACGGGAGGCAGGCAGGAAGGCAGGCGTCAGGCGGGACCCGCAAGGAAAAGACCTGCTGACTCCCGTGACCATCTCTCCAAACCGCCGGCCAACGGCCCCTCCGGTGATTTGTCATGTGGACACGAGTACCCTCTTCCCCAAAGGGAACAGCAATCCCCAGACAGCCCCCAGAAGAACTCAGTGCGAAAGAAGAGCCGGCAGGAGGGAGCCCCTGCCACTTACTCCTTAGTCTGGGCAGCGATTCTGCAGAAGGGCTCGATGAACTTGAGGTTCTGGTCTGCCGTCAGCTGCAGGGGAAGTGAAGCAGAAGCTGCCTCAGGCCCTCGTTCACCAACACCCAGCTCAGCTGCCCACCCTGTCCAGCCCACTGCCACCCCCCCACGCCCCCTCACCTCACTGGCGCCCACTTTGGCCAGCTCCTCCAGGAAGATCTCGATGAAGTGACTCTTCACCCCGTTGGGGGCCTGGCTATCGGGGAGCAGGATCTCGGTCGTCAGCAGCTCCAACAGCTGCTCAATCTGTCTGAAGAAAGAAAGGAGCACATACAGCAGCAGCCGGGACAGGCACCAGGGCATGGTGTTCTCTCCCTTTGTCACGCAGACACCCGGCCCTCCAGCACGCCAACCTGCAACCCCACGCGGTCCTCCAGGACAAAGGGCCCTGTCAATCACCGATTCGTGTGACCTTCCCAGCATCACAACATGTGGCCTGACTGAACTCAGCTACAAAGTGCAAGATGTGTGAGCACTCACAGGCCCTCCCTGTCCTGAGTGCAGGGAGAGGCTTGGGGCGACAGGAGGCTAGCACCACCTGCTGTCTCGCACCCCTCCCGGCTGTCCTCGCTGGGAACTGCTCAGGGAGGCAGACCAGGACACAGCAAATACAAGGAAGGAGATGGAGGCCACAGACGGGATGAGCTTGCTCCCAGGTGCTGCTTCACCAAGTACAGGGCCCGTAAGGTCACAACAGACCGCTCCCTGGCACGTTGGTTTCGGTGACCAGAGGCCTGGGCTCCCAGGTCAGAGAACTTGGAGACCAATCTTCAGGGTCTACAGGCATCTGAAATCCTGGGCACGTGATGACACACAGATCTCTACACCTGAGCTGGAAATGGGCATTCTTTAAGGGGCTGCCCGGATGACCTGGGTGTTTGGCAACAGGAGGGTTTCACCAGTTGGGGAAGGAAATGTGGGAAAAAGGAGTCGAAGCCAGAGCAGGTGCAGGAGGCCTCCTCCCAGGGCTGCTGATCACGCTAAAAAACACTTACCCAAAACAAACTGGTCCCAGACACTGTGTCAGGACAGGGAAGGGTAGAGGTCACACCAGCACCGGTCACCCAGGCAACGGGAGGCCAAATGCTTCAACATGATCCCTGCACTGAACCACTAGTGACAGCGAGGACGAAACCACCTCCGTAATAACAAACCAATAAGAAGTTCACTGAAGTCAACCTCCCTCTAACACTGGATTCCGCTTCAGTCACTAGCTACTTCGGGGGAACCCACAGCCCAAGGTCCTGAAATGAGTGAGACCCCAGGCCTCAAGGTCCCCATGGGGACTTAGGGATGACACCACTCAAAACCAAAGGACTCCTACCCCAACGTAAAGTCACCCTCAAGGACGCTAAACAAAAAAAAATCAGCTAACTATAGTCCAACTCCTGGTGATCTTCTTTCACATGGGGAAAAAGTGGGCAGGGCCAAGGTTTTCTAACTGCTTTCCAAAGGTAAAAAGTCCGAGCATACCTGGGGCTGTGAGCTGAAGTCTCTGGTAAGTAGCTATTCTAACATCTGGAGGCTGGTTTTAGTATCCACCTACTTGAAATTAACTCCTTTAATGTACACTTTTTAATTATAAATCAATTCAAAGTCCATTGTTTCTAAGCCCCTTTCCTCCTGTCTTTCCCCATCCCTGTCCTAAAATCGTGCAGGATGTTTCTGGTGCATCTTCAGTAAAATAAAAAGCAGTCTGCAAATGTCATGTTTGAATGATACCACTTCCGTACCATGTGCACAAAACAATGCAGCATCTTAAAAAGTGTCTGTTGGAGTTAAAATCGCTTTCTAATGCCTTATAAATTCTGAGTTCCTTATACTGAACATATATCACTCTCAAAATTAGAAAACAATTATAAAGAAACCAAATTTTAAATTAATTATAAAAAATTTTAATGTGAACATTCAGAAACCCACTTTGTGTGGTGGATCTGTCTGCCCCCCACCCCCGAGGTTAGAAACCAGCTCCCCATCAGCTGGACGCACAGCTCCAGGCCAGGCGGCAGGACCCGCACTGCCTGGTCCCAGGAGGGGCTGGGAAGAGCTGAGCCCCAGCAGAGCCCAGGTCGCCCACTGCAGCAGAGCAGATCTGCTGGTGCCAGCAGGAATGGAGGCCCCTTGCAGGTTAGAGGACACAGATTACCCCACCACAGCGCTACTGGCAAAGTGAGAAGTCTGGACAAATTAAGTATTTCCAGAACCCGTGCAATGATCATTGACAAAAGAGCTAAACACAAACACACAATATTTTTTATGTGAGAACTCAATTCTAATTCACAACTTACCATCAAGGTTGAAAACAAACATTTACATGAACTCACACAAACTATAATTTTTAAAACACCTTCACTGTAAGTGCCATCAGGTCACTCTTTAATGTGAAGGCTGACGTCTCCTTTACGACAAATAATTAAAAGAGAACCCGTGAACCCAATCCCCCAGGGACAGAAACCGGGACTGGCCCGCGAGCAGCAGACTCAGGATGTGCTGTGAGTACTGACCTTTCCTCCCATCCCCGCATTTTCAGGGCCGCCAAGGACTCCTTCAGGACCATCCGCATGAGCTGTGGCACACAAGGAGGCTCCGTTAGTGGTAGCCCAACCCAGACTTCCCCCGGCAGCCCCTCTGCCCGTGGTCGTCTGCGAGTCCCAAACACACAGCAGGCCCCAGAGCTGTAGGTGGACAGAACACCAAGCCCTCAGAACCCTGGAGAGGTGTTGCTGCCCAGGGCTGAGATGCCCCAACTTTCCAAGCGCACCAGGAAGTCAGGCTCATAGAGGAGACCTGGGGAGCAACTGAGGCACCATGAACAGCAGCGGAGGTGGACTGGGCCCTGCTTCAGGAGTAAGGACGGGAATGAAGCACAGGTGCCCAGAGGCGGCAGAGGCCCTGTAAAAACTGGGTCCGGCAACTGAGAACATCTCCCCCCAACAGAGCAAAAGGTTTACTTTCTTTCTGACCTCCATGCAGTAAACTCTCCCCTTAAAACCTCAGCATTTCAATTGAGCCCAATGCCTGCCCCACAACCCCCCGTTCCCGTGCATTGATCACAGCATTTCTGGCCCAGTTTTCCTGCCTTCTGCATATTGACCCCACATCCCGCAGAGGGTCCAGTCGTGGTCAGAGGTGAGAGGACAGGACAGAGCACTCCCAGTAGCCAGGACGCCTGTCCTACCTCATTCCCTACCTGCAGTGCCATCAAAAGGGGGCTGTGCTGCTAGACATGGTCACAAGGGGACCTGGGAAATGGGCGTCAACAAGCAACCGAATCCATCCTAGCGAAGCGACTGTACCTCAGGTCCCATGTGCTGATCACATAGAGCTCCCCCGCCTGATAAACCTGTATTTTGTAAAAGTGCAAAGCCTGGCCCCGCCCTGCTCCTCTGCCCGTTGCCTTCGTGTCCAACCTCTTTCCCTCCTCAGCTCTCTGCCGGGACCACACTTCAGTGTCTGCCATGCGGCGTCCACATGACCCTGAGCCAGTCGGAGCTGATCTGAGAGACAGAATCACACATGAACTGCTGCCCTGAGGGGACGCGTCCTCAGTGAGGCTTGGCCACTGCCCTGTACAGTGTGCCCAGTGGGTCACCCGCTCTGAGACAGCAATACTGTCCCCTCATCTGGGGACTGTCCCAAGTCCCAGTGAACACCACTTAGTAACAACACTATAGTTCAACACAGGATGGGGGTGGGGAGCTGTTTATAAAGGCAAATCAGTAACCTACATTCACAGGAGGGGAAAGGGGATCCTGCAAACAACAACTGTACTGCTGCCCCCGGCTGGAAGAAGCCAACTTCAGTGCTGGCACCCAGGCTCCCAAGGGCCTCCACCGAGGGCACGAGCCCCACGGCTCCGCCGGCATTCACGGCTCCCCACAACCCTCCAGGAGGGCAACTGTGACCCTCCTCCTCTGAACTGAAAGCCTGTACGGTGTTTCAAGGACTGAATTCTGTGCCTACTTGCCAACCTTCAGAGACGGGTCAAGTACTGCACAATCCTAGGCATGTGCACCCCGAACAAGACCTAGGCTCCCTGAGCGACCACCAGGCTATGGGTCAGTGGTCAGGGTGGCCGCACTGACCAGAAGCCTTTAGCTCTGCCCTGTTGGGGTGGGAGGCTCAAAGGCCAGACCACTCCATGCTGCAACCCCAGCCCTCCCTCCCCAACTCTCTGGGTGCTCACACCTGCTCCCCCCGCCACTCTGGCACCGCAGGGGACCCGGCCGAGGGGGGCGCGCTGCTTCCTCACCATGTAGAACTTATCCAGGCGCAGTCTGTCTATGCCCGTCCACTCGCGACTCATGGTCTGCCAGAAGGTCTGAAGGAACAGGTGCTCTGGGGAGGGAAACAGGCCACAGGAGAATCATGGAGGAATATGAAAGCCACTCTGGGAAGTAAAGTGACAGAATATGAAGACACCTGGTCAGGGTTTTGTGTGCAACCAGCCTCTGCCATTCTCAGTCTGAGTTGGCTGAGCTGTGAATCTGGCTTAGAAATGGAGCCGTGAGGAACCTCAGAAAGAAAAGCAGAGCTCACCACAACTCGGAGCGGCAGCCACATTCTCCGAAGAACAGGTGCAAAGAGCACGCAAAGCCACCAGCAAGAAAGGAGGCTGCTCAGGCCACTTCCTCCCCAGGCCCTCGGCCTCCCTGTGGATGGGCTGAGGCTCTGCCTGACACTCGTGCAGGACCTCGCCGCTTGCCCACTAGCCGTACTAACCAATCAAACACAAAACCCTGCTAATAATGGCTACGCAAGAGTGCAAGGGGCTGACCTGTGTTGAAGCTCTAACCCCCATACCTAGAAACAGGACTTTATTTAAATACTAGAGGCCCAGTGCATGAAATTAGTGCAAGAGTAGGCCTTCCTTCCCCTGGCTGCCGACACCGGCTTCCCTCTGGCACCCAGGACCTGGGCTTCCCTGGCAGCCCCGGCTTCATCCGGACATCTGGTCTAATTAGCATATTATGCTTTTATTATTATAGATATGGTCCTTAAAAAGGTAGTTAAGATAAAATAAGGTCACTGTGTGGGACTTCATCCAATCAGACTGTGTCCTTACAAGATGCGATCAGGACACAGACACGGAGGGGCAATCACATGAGGACCCAGGGAGAAGACAGCATCTTCATGCCGAAGAAAGAGGCCTCAGGAGAAACCAGCCCTGCCCACACCCTGACATCAGGACACAAAGGGCATCTCTTATCTCCCATTACAGGCTTCCCCAACAGCAAAGAGCTGATCAGATGGTTCAGCAATGGAAGGGCCGGTGTTCACTGACTCATTCCAGTGTCACTAGGTGAACACTCTATACTTTGCCTTTTGCTGAGCAGACTCCTCTGCAGGTTCTTAGAAGGTAAAAAGTACAGGAGGTAGATATTCTCCTCCACTAATGACTCCAATACAGTTAGACTCTGCCAAGTTGAGAAAGTAGTTTCTGCGATTTCTGTGCACGTCCCCCAACCCCCCAACAAATTTTGATCCTTTGCCTATTTAAGTCTGAGCTAAACCACTAGCAATGGTCCTAGTGCCTATGCCAGTGATGCTCCCTGGCCCTGCCCACCCTTAGGGCAGCAGAGGGAGGCACAATGCTGGTTACTAGGCCCCACCCTCAGAGCTCCACTTAAGGACAGCAGGGTCTGGACATCAAGATTTTAAAGACCCCCAGTGACCCCATGGGCAAGCGGCAGTGTCGAGAACTGCTGATCGTGCTCAGAAGAGAAAAGGCTCACTGAGGAAATCACAACGATCAGATGAGAGTCAGTGCAGCAGCTTGGTAACACCACACCAGCTTGCCACTTTAATTTTATAATATAGGGTATTGCCCTAGCGGGTTTGGCTCAGTGGATAGAGCGTCCGCCTGCGGACTGAAGGGTCCTGGGTTCGATTCTGATCAAGGACACATGCCCGAGTTGCGGGCTCGTTCCCTAGTAGGGGGCATGCAGGAAGCAGCTGATCGGTGATTCTCTATCATCATTGATGTTTCTCTCTCTCTTTCCTTCTCCTTTCCTATCTAAAATCAATAAAAATATATTTAAAATAAATAAAATGTAGGGTATTAGCCCTTTAGATTTTTGAGCTGAGTGTATTTTAGGTAAAAGAGTTAATACAAATTGACACACATAAGCACCAGGAGACACCAGCTACAATGGGGACTTCTCTCTTGCTCTAGATCTTAGAACCCAGGCTTCTGGGTGGAAGCTACTGACTCGGTGGTTCTGACCTTCCCAAGGGGTAAGGATACTCACGTGCCTCTGTGGTTTGAAAAGCATGGACGAGCTGGGAGATGGTCCTTCCTAGTTCCTCCTGTGCAGGAAACAGTCAAATAATCTCCTTCAGCCCCTGAAGAAATGCGGTTTCACAACAACAAGCAACACACTCAGCTGTCCACCCGTCATGAGACAGGCTTCACTGGCTGCTTCAGCCCAGTGTGCCTGAGGCCTGCAAGCTACATCCCTGCTGCGAAGGGCTTCACTCTACAGCTGGGGTCAGCAGAACCTTGCAGCAGGGCAGTCACTGCCCTCATGATCCGGCTGAGCCCTGAGCAACAGAGGTTGGCCATGGAAGGAGAGAATAAGAGAAGGCAGGCCAGAGCAGGGATCCACAGGACATGCAGCCACCTGACCAGCAGAAAGAGGGAGCCAACCAGCCCTAGTAGGTTTGGCTTAGTGGACAGAGCGTTGGCCTGCGGACTGAAGGGTCTCAGGTTCAATTCTGATAAAGGGCACATGCCTGGGTTGCGGGCTTGACCCCCCAGTAAGGGGCATGCTGGAGGCAGCTGATCAATCATTCTCTCTGATCATTAATGTTTCTATCTGTCTTCCTCTCTGAAATCAATAAAAATATTTTAAAAAGTAATAATAATAATAAGAGGGAGCCAACCAGACCCCTGTAACTTACTCACTGCCTGCCTGTGTCACTGGCCAAGCAGCACTCCGTACACTTGCTAAATGGGTAATTCCAGAGCCTTCCCTGAGACTCTAGTTTAGAGGCATGGAAAACAGTGCAAGATTCTGAACTTTCAATACTGCCCCCCCACCCACGGGATCCTAAAGAAGAGTAAGCAGTTCATATTCTAGTAAACACTGTTTTACAAAGGCTAGCAATTTAGGGCAATGAATCCACTCTGTAAGATACCATCGTGATGAATACATGTCATTATACATTTGTCCAAACCACAGACCATACCCCAGGGGTGAACCCTCAGGTGAATTATGGACTGAGGATAATGATGATGTGTCAAGTGTTAGTTCATCGATTATAACAAATGTACCATCTGGTGGGCGATGCTGATAACAAAGGCAGCTGTGCATGTGAGGGGGGGGCGGGGACAGGAGATAAGGGGAAACTTCTGTATCTTCCTCTCAGTTTTCTGTAGATTAAAACTGCTCTAAAAAATAGTTTTCTTTTTAAAGAAAGAAAGTTTAAAAGGCTTCAGGAGAAATTTGTGTCTCAGAGGACTTAGACCCTCTCCCTTGGTTTCCATCATTTAGGGTTCAGTTTGTGATCTCTCACAAACACCAGACAGTTAACCCAGGCTTCACCCGGGCGCTGACTTGCACTGATGAGCACCTGTGGGGCTATGGTGCTCAACTCAACTAATATAAGACCCTCTCTAAACAAAGACCCTCACCTTCCTGCCATTAATTAATTAACTAACTAACTAATAAATAAATAAATAAATAAATCTCAAATAAAAAAGCTGTGAACTTCGTCGAGTCAACCACACGCCCATCTGGCCTCCCACTGATATTGCTGCTCCAGCTCCTTCTGCCTTCCCATATGCTCACCTGGAGGAGCGGCTTGTCCTGCATCCACATGCAATAAAACAGTCCTTTCCACACCTTCAGCAGCTCGTCATGAGTGAAACCACCTGCACCAAAACAGCAACATTCAGACTAAGTGGCCCCAGCCTTTTAGTACCAGGGTCCAAGGGACCTTCCCTCTCCTCCCAAGACATCCTTCTAACTCGGAACCCACTGGGCCTGGGCCCACAGGGACTCCCCCAGGCAACTGCCATTTCATCCTTTTAATAAAAACAGAATCGCCAAGTAGCAGGCACTGTTCTTTTTTTGGAGATTCAAAACTGAGTGAGTCACTATCTCCTGAGTTGGATGGTGGCTGGCTATCTTAGGGGGATAATTCATCCAGCGTCACACTTGGGGTTGGTGCACTTTTCTGCATTACACTTCAAATTTCAAAAGAAAAGGTTAAGTCATCGGGCTAGTACAGGACGAAGACACATAAAATCACTCAAAATATTGACCGAGTTCCTCTGTCTGGCACTGTGTTCAATGAGCAGTGGTTCTCAGACCTGAGCACCAGTGTTAGAATCACTTGGGGGCTTCCTAACACACGGATCGCGGACGCTACGGCCAGTTCCTGATCCATCAAGGCTGGGATGAGACCAAGAAACTGCCTTTCCAACAAACGTCCCCGTGATGCTGCCGTTGCCCTCGGGGTGCCACACTTTGAGAACCTGTTACACAGACCAGTTAACAAGCATGTTCTCTGCTCTCGCGGAGCGTACGCTACAGTGAAACTCAAATGACAATCCAACAATTACACAAGGCGCATTACTGACAAGTGACAATGCCGCGGGGAGGGGCAGTGGAAATACCCCCGTAGGAGCGCGGGACCACGTGGTTCGGAGGCCACCCAGCCGGCACCGCCCCCGGCCGCCCCCCTATGTCCCGCCGGGCCGCGCCGCGCCTCCACCCGGCAGGCCCAGTCCCCGAGGCGGCCCCGCAGGCCACGCGCCAACCTGCAGCCGGCTGAGTCCTGGCCACGATGTATTTCCGGAGCTTCCTCACCGCCCGGTCCCGGGTCACCTGCTCGTTCCCCGCCAGGCGCTGCGCCAGCTGGATCTCAGGGGGGAGCTGCACCCGCGGAACCATGGCGATCGCCACTGAGAGCCCCAAGTACCAGCGACCACGCCACTGCGCTTGGCCGGTCGCGCGGTGTGACGTCACACGAACGCGCCGGCCTGGCCCGGGCACGCTCTCTGACGTCGGGCGTCTGGGAGGGCCTCTCCCCGGCCGCACGCCATCGCCCCGTAGTGGCCGGACACCGCAATGACAGCTCTAGACAGTTGTAATTCAAAGGTCACTAAACCTGTGCCCGCCTTTTAGGGGCGGGGTAGTTTAACCTGGTTGATCACAGAGGTTCTTTAGCAAAGAAAGCCAGCGAGCACAGATAGAAGGAATGGAAGGATTGGAGAAAACTCTGTGCGGCCCCCAGTGAACCTTTGATTCAGGGCGAAAGTCATCAGAAAATGGCACAAGGGCTAAAGAAAGGTGGTCCAAGCTATCAGTCCCCGCCCCAAATGGCCGGCCACTGTGGGTGGGTGGGTGGGGCGTGGCTCCCACACAGCAGCAGCACCTGTGGGCTGTCAAACCTGACCCTCCTTCAGCCTTCAGGGCTGCACCCCAGCTGTCAGGACACAGGAAGGCTGAGCAGGGTGCACAAGAAGACAATCACGACCCTAGGCTGGGACAGTTCGCAAGACAACCGTCCTGATATCATCACAGAGTTAAAGTCATGGATGAAGGAAGGAATGAACGCCTATATAAAGGAGGGGATGTACTCCTTTACATATTTGCATATACAAATCTTGATTTGATCCTGGTTCAAAGAAAAAGCTCTATGTCATTTGGGGGTCAATTGGGAAAGCTTGCATATGGACTAGATGTTGGATTATAGTGCAGAATAATTGTTTATTTTCTTAGGTGTGACAATGTAGTGTTTATGTTCATGCAGAATGGACTCAGCAGATTTTTTCTGTAAAGGGCCACGTGTCAGAGAACCCCAAGCCTGTTGATCTACTGGACTACGAAGATGGAGGGCTATGAACTATTATGGCAAAGGGACACAAAGCAAATCAGCACAGGAAAAGGTCATATAGAGGGATTCCAGGAGACACCGGGAGGAGGCTTCCAGGCCACACTTACCTCCCCAGCAAGGAGCTGCGACAACCCGTGTGAGATGTCGACTACCAGGAAGCAAAATGGAGAAACACCCACTTCCTTTACATTAGTGAGTACAGGATAGTTAACATCCTATCTAATAATAGAGAAACATGGTAATTAGCCGGACCTCCGCTACCCTTCCCATTGGCTAATCAGGGCGATATGCAAATTAACTGCCAACCAAGATGGCAGCCGGCAGCCAGGCAGCTTGAAGTGAACAGGAGGCTTGCTTGCTTCAGTGACGGAGGAAGCCAACGTTCCCCGCCTGCCTTGCCGGCCTCTGAGCTTGCACTCTAAGAAACAATGTTACAAATATAGAAGCTAAACAAAACCCCAGAAACCTGCTTTCAGCCAGCTGGGCTTCAGCCAGCAGGACCGCAACATTGTTTTAATTACAGAACAAACGCAGATCCCTGCTTTCAGCCAGCCGGGATCTCAGAGCTGGAGTGAGCAGGACCGAAACAGTGTTACAATTATAGAACCCAAACAAACCAGATACCTGCTTTCAGCAGCCGAGGCCTCAGAGCTGGAGCCAAGCCTCAGAGCTAAAGCTGGCCCAGAATTTAAAAAAAAGAAAAAAAGGACAGGTTGGGAGTTTCAGTCACCCGCCAGCCCGAAAACGGCCCTCAGCCCCTCACCCAGACTGGCCAGGCACCCCAGTGGGTACCCACACCCTGAAGGGGGTGTGACCAGCTGCAAACAGCCATCATCCCCTCATCCAGGCTGGCCAGGCACCCCAGTTGGGAACCCCATGCTGATCCAAGACACCCTTCAGGGCAAACCAGCTGGCCCCCACGCCTCTATCCTATATAGTAAAAGGGTAATATGCCTCCCAGCACCGGAATCAGTGGAGCCGTGAGGCCTCCTGGCCCCTGGAGCAGCGTGACAAGGGGCAGCAACCAAACCCCCTGATCGCTCTGCGGCTCTGTGTGTGACAGGGGGTGGGGCCACAACCTCCCTATCCGCCCTGCTCTGTTCGTAACAGGGGAAGGTGCCCCAACCCCCTGATCAGCCCTGCTCTGTGCCTGATAGGAGGGAGCTCCCCAACCCCCTGATCGCCCTGCAGCTCTGTGTGTGACATGGTGCGGCGCCCCAACCCCCTGATCGGCCCTGCTCTGTGTGTGACAGGGTGCGGCGCCCCAACCCCCTGATCGGCCCTGCTCTGTGTGTGACGGGGTAGAGCCATAACCTACCCATCGGCCCTGCCCTCAGTGTGACAGTGGCGGCGCCCCAACCCCCTGATCGGTCCTGCTCTGTGGGTGATAGAGGGCGGTGCCCCAACCCCCTGATCCATCCTGCTCTGTGTGTGACAGGGGGCAGTGCCCCAACTCCACTATCGGCCCTACTCTGTGAGTGACAGGGGAGAGCTCCCCAACCCCCTGATGGACCTGCTCTGTGCGTGACAGGGGGGAGCTCCTCAACTCCCTGATCAGCCCTGCTCTGTGCGTGACAGGGTACGGAGCCCCAACCCCCCTGATGGGCCCTGCTCTGTACATGACAGGGGGCAGTGCCCCAACCCCCCTGATCGGCCCTGCTCTGTGCGTGACAGGGGGTGGCGCCGCAACCTCCCTATTGACCCTGCCTTGAGTGTGACGGGGGCGGTGTCCCAACCCCCCAATCGGCCCTACCCTGAGAGTGACTAGAGGTGGCATCACAACCTCCCGATCCACTCTGCTCTGTGCATGACGGGGCGGCGCCCCCAACTCCCCCAATCGGCCCTGCTCTGAGCCCGACCAGGGGCTGCACCTAGGGATTGGGCCTGCCCTCTGCCACCCGGGAGCAGGCCTAAGCCAGCAGGTCATTTATCTCCCGAGGGGTCCCAGACTGCGAGAGGGCACAGGCCGAGCTGAGGGACCCCCTCTCCCACCCGAGTGCACAAATTTTTGTGCACCGGGCCTCTAGTTTACAATAAGTAGAGATGGTATATGGGCAGCAACCTAACCGGTGCCAATGTGGTTATGCCTCCAAGGGGTTTGGAAAAGAAATTCACCCTGACTTATCAAAGGTATCTTATCCTAGATGCATAAGAACAATGGGCAGGGCTGCCTATGGGAAAGATTGGCCTTTCACTAAGGAAGCTATAGGCCAGGGGTGGGCAAACTTTTTGTTAGTGTGTGACAAAATCAGCAAAATCTCTGACTCAAAATTCTTCTGCGTGCCAACCCTAATTTTTTGAGAACATGTTACGCCTACTTGATATCTCTTAAGGTGTACGTATGTGAAGAACCTTGAAGAAATAATAAAATTCATTCGAGCAACAAAAACATAGTATATGATGATGAAAAATACATTTATTTTTTAATGTATACATGTACACTGATAGTCCGACAGAAAACTTTATGACTCCCTTTGATATTATCAGTGGGACTTTTGCTGCTACATCACTGATGATAGAGATTTTATATCAGGTTTATATTTTGTGACCTTCAGAGATATACACGAGCTACTGTCATCCGTCAGGCTACTCCTATTATGAGACTTAACAAAATTCATCACTGAGAACAAAGATTCACAACCATATGTGGATGAAACCAAAACACTGGTCAGATCTAGGAAGGCAGGGAGAGTTAAGGCAGAGGCATATAAATTGCTCTTCCCCTCTCTCGTCAGTCCATGTCTTTAAGATAACTTGTTATGTAAAATTATTTATTTATCTAAGATGCACCTACACTGAATTTATCTGAAAAATGAAAAAGTCAATATTAAGAAAAATATTGTAAATGGAAGATTATAAGAGAGGGTTTCACATGCCAGCAAAAGTTACGGGTGTGCCAGGGGTTGCCCACCCCTGCTATAGGCCTAGGATGTGATTACCTGCATGACCTGCCCAGCTAGGAATTTATGATCGAATCACCTTTATGGTTACTTTCAGGCTCACCAAGAAACGCCCAGAGCTGGTCAGGTCTGCTATGTGACCCCTTTTTCACTCATTCAGTCATTCAATTATGACTGAATTATAGGGGTCTCTCCTTCCCCTACACACCTGGCCTCCCACCCTTCCTTGAATTACAAACCAGGCTCTTCCCTGGCAGGTGCGGGAACAGCTGGCCTCTCCCACTTATCTGATCATGGGCCGCTCCCATTGGGGTTTGGCACGGAGCCCTACGGAAGGCAAGACTGGGCCTGCTCCTGCAGACAGCACCCAGTGGTGGGAGAGGCCCAGCATCCCCTGAGGTGCAGCCCTGGAGTGGGGGAGGGGTGCAGCTGGAATGCCACTCCCACCCCAACCTAAGGCCCTGGGAGGCATCTCATCAAGGACTCCTTTGTGCCTCCTCTGCTCACACACGTCAGCCCTTCTCTATGTCCCTGGGTCACGTGCTGGTGCAAGGTGGGTGCTGGACCTGGTCTTGCAGATGAGAAGTGCAAAGCAGTCCAATGCACTGGGCAGTGAGGCCAGGCAGGCCTAGTCCTGGACTCCAAGATGCCCTGGCAGTCTCTGTCCCCAGCTACTTCTGGAGCCCAGTGGGCACAGACGTCTCTCCCTACTGCTCTTGGGGACTCTCAGGTCCAGCTCCCACTCATCTCTGGGTCTCTCCCATCTGGAAGCTGCCCTGCAGGGGGTGTGGCAGCGGAGGTCATAGCTTCCAGAGCTCAGGCCCAGGATGTGGGTTTGCAGCTTCACAGGGAGGAGGACAAATCACAGGAAGAGGGAAGAGCAGATGTTTGGTAACCAGCTGTCTGCCCTGCCATGCAGCTGAGTCTCAGATTTAAAAAAGTTCTCTCTGATCTTTGCTCTCTTTCTGGACCAGGCTCCCCACCTAAATGATTTTAACATAATCATTTAATTTTTGTTCCCCCCTTTATTTTAGAGAGAGGAGGGGAGAGGGAGAGCAAGAGAGAAACATAACATGAGAGAGAAACATTGATCAGTTGTCTGCAGTTAAGGGCCCCAGGGGGATATGGAACCCGCAGTTGAACCCACGACCCTTTGGTGCACAGGAGAAAGCTGCAAAGGACTGACCACCTCGGCCAGGGCCTTCCCTGAATGCCATGAGGGGAGAGGTGGAA